CCAAAAATACTTAATCATGGTATTAAATCACGTGCATTGCACGTGTGTAAAAACTAGTATATATATATATATATGAGATTAATGGGTATCCTTGTCATAGGAGGGGATTTCCTCCTATGACGCCTCTAAAATCACATGATTGAGCGACATTATAGATGATCCGCTCCGTTGAACTTGATCTACATATTCTAAAACCTCAACACACCAAGTTTGAGGTGAACCCGTCGTCGTTTGACCCTTCATCCACTCGTATCAATTTTAACGGTTTTGAATGAATAGAACTTTTCACATGGCTCGATGGAGGGTCAAACAACGACGGATTCACCCCAAACTTGGTGTGTTGGGGTTTTAGAATATGTAGATCAGGTTCAACGGAGCGGATCATCTATAATATCGCTCAATCATGTGATTTTAGAGGCGTTAAGGAGGAAATCCCCTCCTATGATAATGATACCCATTAATATCTCTCTCTCTCTCTCTCTCTCTATCTATATATATATATACATACATACATACACACACACATTGTTAAAAACCAGGCGAGGGTATAAGAGGATGTTCGGTTCAACAAAGGAACTCTCTAGGAAAGATCCTAACTTACTCATTTAGAAAAGAGTATTTTTATTATTTTCTGTTTCTCTTCTTTGGTTTGGCAAAAGAAAGGAAAAGAAAAAAGAAAAAAAGGAAAACGTATTCCAAAACAAGCTTTCTTAAACCAAGGAGATGTGTTTCTTTCAAAAAGGCTAAATACTCATATTGGTATTTTAATTCTACCACATTTACCAAGAAGGTATTTTAATTAGGCAAACATGTTTTAAGGTATTTTAATTGATTCAACTTACCAACAAGGCATTTTTTCTCGTCGGCGACCAGTTTTCCGACGAGAGCTCGTTACGTGCGTGACAAACTATTTTTTAGCTGCTAATGTGACACAGATTTTCTGACGTGGTAGTGTTTAGGCGGGAATTAATCCTCTAAAAATCACAATTCACCCAAAATAGGATATATCCGTGCCACATCAGCAACTAAAAAACAGTTTAAGCCATCACGTGCCACGCACGTGACGAGCTCTCGTCGAAAAATTGATCGCCGACGAGAAAAATGACATTGTTGATAAGTTGAATCAATTAAAATATCTTAAAACATGTTTGTCTAATTAAAATATCTTCTTAGTAAATGGGGTGGAATTAAAATACCAATATGGGTATTTAGCCCTTTCAAAAAGGTTTATTTATTTAATTACATATTATTATTTTTTTTTTCAATAACCAAACGCTCGTACAAGGCCCAACTACAATATCCAGCCCAAAAACAGCCCTCCGCATCCAAATCAACCCAATCCATCAACAGCCGCTCCTTCTTCCACAATCCAGCCCAAAAACAGCCCTCCGCATCCAAATCAACCCAATCCATCAACAGCCGCTCCTTCTTCCACAAACGGCCCTGATCAAAACCAACCACCCCAACCCTCACCTATATAAATCCTCAATCCCTAACCATCCGTCTCTTCTCAAAACCCTAGACTCGATCACAGAGTAAAGAAACCCTAGCCTAATCCCCCATTTCCTCTCATCCCCCAACTCAACTTCAGAAAAACTTCATCTTTTTTCTTGTTCTTGTGCAGGGCACGATGAAGTTCAACCCAAGGGTGTCCAGCTCCCGCCGCAAGAGCCGCCGGGCCCACTTCACCGCCCCGTCCAGCGTCCGCCGCGTCCTGATGAGCGCCCCCCTCTCGGCCGACCTCCGGTCCAAGTACAACGTCCGCTCATTATTTGAGAAAAAAATTTAGTGTATATTTTGAACCACCACCAAAAATGTTGTAGATCCGCCACTGCAAGTACAACGTCCGCTCGATGCCGATCCGCAAGGACGACGAGGTCCTCGTCGTCCGTGGGACCTACAAGGGACGGGACGGCAAGGTGGTCCAGGTCTACAGGCGCAAGTGGGTGATCCACGTGGAGCGGATCACGAGGGAGAAGGTCAACGGCTCCACCGTCAACGTCGGCATCAACCCCTCCAAGGTTGTGATCACGAAGCTGAAGCTGGACAAGGACCGGAAGGCGCTGCTCGACCGCAAGGCCGCCGACAAGGCGAAGGGGAAGTTCTCGGCCGAGGAGGTCGCCGCCGCCGCCGCTGGAGGAGCCGCTTCGCTCCAGGAGATCGATTGAAGAAAAAGCTGAGTCTTTTATCTAGTTATTGAATTTGAGGGGTTTTGTTCCGTACTTTTTAGGTGTCTAATGGCGATGATACTGGTAGCACTCGCCGATGAATGTTTTTTCAAGACTTGAGAGAGTTTGGTGAAGGTACTTTTTTTGAATCTAGTTTGTGTTATTATGAGTAGTGTGAAGACCCCATTTTTATAGCGCTCTCTTTGATTGATCTTGATCATTGCTTTGAAATTATTTTTGGTTGCGACTACTAATGTTAGTGTATAAATTCATTTTGTAGTGGTTTCTAGGGCTTAATCTATACAATGTGATTACATTGTAGATGGTAGTGTTAAACCTCGAGTCCTTTGAAGCTTTGTTAGTTTAGTTAGTAAGAGGAGCTATTCATTTGGTAATGGTGCTACTAGTGCTTGTTTAGATTTTTTATTGTAGGTTCAGTTATGATTCTGTAAATTTATTTAATTGTTAACGACTGCTAAGTGTGGTGTTGGAGGCTTATTGAGGTTGTAAAACGTCGAACTTTGAGCACTTCGATATCATACTCGTCAGGATGATCTCGGCATGACAATAGGGTCATCAAAGACGTCAATCCAACTACTGGTGGTTGGATTGGAGTCGTTTCATCTTCACCCCCTCCATTTTCAGTTTTAGCAAATGGTTGCCACAAAATTTCTTTTGATCTCGGCAGGGTCTTAGGCAAGGGTCTATATATAGAGTCCCCTACTAGTTTGTTATTGCTCAAGAGGGTTCTGATCTGGGGGCTAAAACCCTTGCTCGACGAGAAGAAAAGAAGTCCCGTAATCCACGTCAAAAATTGTGTTTCGAGGTATCGTGAGTAGTGATGAAGGCGCTTCTTCTACAATGATCTCTAGGGTTGATCCCTACTTGTTGTTCATGCTGTGGCTACTATAGTTAGATGTGTTATATACTTTGTTTGCAGATTTGTAATGCTGCTTTTGTATCTTAATTTTTGGTTTGTGGTGTCCGTGCATTCTCTTTCATGCATTTTATATCGTGTAGCCTTGCAAGTTGGATACCATCTTAGTTGCACACTCGTATGTCATTTTAATGTACTTCGAGTTGATATTAACAAATTGCTTCTTCATGCTAGTACTTTTGATTAGGAGAATGGTTGTGACTATTGCTTGACCACCTTATGGAATGACAATGAAATAGGTATAGAATATAGCCTGTGACTGAGGTTTTAGACTTACCGAATGAAAACAGCTGCGGCTAGTACTATAAAAAGGTCTATTCTCTATGGTAATATTAACTACGCCACTCTTTTTCAAACTAATCCCACACTACAAGAGAGAAGTGCTGTGGTACTCTGATGGCTCATCAATTTATTTGAAAAAAGGTTGAAAGATTATGTACCCACATTTTTGCCTTTTGCCGTGTGAAAATAGTTTGGAAGTAGTAGCGTAGATAAAACAACTCATTTTATGTAGTTATCTTTAGGATTGGCTGGGAGTATCTTGATATTGTTATCTATGTATCGAGTGCAATGCTACATAGCATCGGGTAGCAACAAGTTTTTGGTATTTGGCAATGCGTATTCAATAGTAAGATTTGACTATTGCCGGCTCTTCTTGCATTTTGTGTTTCACAGCTTTTCTAAAGTTAGGAAGATCGGCATTTGTAACTCACAGATTGTGAATGCATTGTATAAGAAACCCATTTCCTATAGTGATGTCTAGGATTGAGTGGGGTCATGTTGACTATGTTGTTTGTGGTAGCGTGTGCACTGTAAATATGTCAAAAGCTCATTGCAATTTGCAACCCATCACTAAATTTTTTTTAGGGTCTTACAGTGTACATATAATATAAACATACAAGTTCAAGTTACATTAGGGTTTCAAAACATAATTACACAATAACAAAGATCACCAACTGTTCATGTAACTCGCCGATCCAAACTTAAAGTTTCCTGCCCGTTTCCAGTTGGTCAAGGGCTGGGCTTGAATCCACCATGTTCATCTCAGCACGATGTTCGGCTGAATCCTGAGGCCTTGATATGAGGGAACCAAGTGTTGTTGGCTGTAAATCTCTGCGCTGGTCGGCTAACATACGAAAATATGCATGAGGTCCCCAACCTGCATGAAGATGTATCAGAAGTTTCAGTACTCAAGCCGTTGAGATTGTTGTAGAAGTACAGGCATAGGGAGCTCACTTTCTCAACCATGGTCACTTTAATTTGATTTAGTTGAGTGAAAAGTGAGAAATAATCCAATTAGCAAGATACGATGGCTGCTATAGTTGGATAAATCTTGATCAATCTACTGGTTAGTAATGACTGTGATATAGAAAATAGCCTGTCTACTGTCAAATAAGAGATAACTGTGATATAGAAAATAGCCTGTCTACTGTCAAATAAGAGTGGAGATGGCTAGTTTCGCAGTCTTTTGTGCCTATTTCTTTATTCCTTTGGGTACTATGATTTTCTATTCGTCATTCCTCTTAAATAAAGCCCTTCTAACTATTATACTAAAATCCCGCAGGTTGAGCGCTATTTTTATGATTCGAACTCACGCATCAATAACAATTTTTTTAAAATCAGTATTAAATTTACGGCTAGTATGATTTAAACCTCGATTGCTCTGATGTCATCTTAATTAAGCTCCTCAACCATTATAACAAAACTTCGAAGCTATGGTAAGGTCGAATATTTCCTAACGTATCAACCTAACAGTGAAAGAGAACTTGTAGTTCTGCTACTGGGATCGACTATTTATGTCGATGTTTTCACGTCATCATAAGGAAAATAAAATAAATCCGAGGGACCGAATAGATTTATTGGTTATAAATTAGGTGCTTTGGAGTGTACCTTGTGCATCATAAGGAGGTGGGAAAAATTGCAGATAACAAAATGAAGCAACTACCAATCCTGCAAAGGAAAATTTTTTCTCTGACTTGAGCAACTATCTATAAAGATATTTAAGTATTTTCAACGAAATAATTCATGATAAATACTGGAGAAATATGGACCTATCAGTCCACCAGCAAATACATCTTGCCAGTGATGCCAATAATCATTAACCCGAGAAACCGCAATAAGAGCTGCAACCAGAATAGGAGAAAATACGACGCAGAGTTTTGCAATGTGGCCCTTTCTGTCAAAAGCTTTGATCTTCCCAGAAAGATACCACGCTAGGAAACCTAGACCAGCAAATGACCCTGCATTCACACCGGTAAATGATAGAGTGTTCTTTAAAATAAAGAACAATTTTTCAAAATAGGCCGATTTAGTTTTTTATTTTTCAAAATCGACCGTTTTTATTTATTTATCAAAATCGACCCGGTTTTGTGATTAGCAGGCTAATCACTATCCTAAATAGTCGGGGTTGCCAACCCCGACTAATTAGGACATTAATTTTTAGGGTTTAAGGCCTTTAATTAGGGTTTAACACCCTCCTAAATAGTCGGGGTTGGCAACCCTGACTATTTAGGATAGTGATTAACCTGCTAATCACAAAACCGGGTCGATTTTGATAAAAAAAAAAAAACGGTCGATTTTGAAAAATAAAAAGCTAAATCGACCTGTTTTGAAAAATTATTCTTAAAATAAACCATCAGGAGAAAGAAAAAAAATTTATTAAAAGAAACCACTACAAGAAGCGCTAGCGTGGAAACCAGAAACAAAGTTTTTACCCCCTCCAAAGTCAAATCGCCTGTTTGGCTCCAAAAAAGTATAAACAAACCAATTGAGGGTAGCAAAGATTTAGTATTGGGGTGCTTCGTATAATATATAAGGCGATGAATATGATTGGGCTTTTTCTAAAGGATCGACTGGTGCACGCGAAATAAATACAACAGCAACAACGGCAAACAAGAACAAAGCCTTTATCCAAACTTTTGCGCTTTGTTTGGGAATTTACTACTAGACGGAAAGTTAAATAATGGAAAGGAAAGGTAGAGAAGGAGAGTGAAAAGACAAAATATTGCTTGGGAGTTGAGTAAAAGGAATGAAAGTAAATTTATTTTATCTTGTTTGAGAGTTTTAATAAAAAGGAGGGAAATGAAGTGAATATATATAAAGTTACATAAATACCTTTGCATGTTGCATGTTATTAAGATGATGATATATCTTAGCCATTGATTTTAATGTCATAATGGTATAATTATCTTACCATACTGTGAAATTTTATTCTAATTTCCATTCCATCCTCTACCGTCCAAATTGCGGGGGAAGAAAAATTTAGGAAAATTTAACATTCCATTCCATCCTCTAACCCCTAAAAAAAAACTCTCAAACAAGGTTAAAATGAAACTTTACTTTCACTTCCTTCCTCTAACCACCATCCAAACACACCCAAAGTTAGCTACATGATTCTTTTACACTGTTAATTTAGTTGTTACCAATTCTTCTTAATTGCTTCTAACCAAGTTCTCTCGGACCTATCCCAATCCTCCTAGTCCCATGTAACTATCATCTTATCGCTTCCTCTTATTGATGGATTTCATAGCCACCCTACGCATGACCAAAATCTTAGTTGATTGTCCTTATTTTACTTATTAGAGACCGACCTCTGACCTTCTACTAACGAACTGAAATATTATTGACGAAGCAACAACAGCGGTACCAATAATATCAGGCGCTGAAAATATTTCTAAAATTTGGATATGGCAACTTCGTCACGGATGTCGAAGAAGCTATAAATCAGTGAAAAATGTGTTGGCGCTGCAACAGTCAATACTGAGCTGATGGTTTTCCTAGTGCTTACATGAAGAATGTCCACTGGGAAAACTTTTATGTCCCTCTTTAATGTCACCCTTATTTCCATGACATATTACATCTCCATGTCTTGCAAGATCATAAGCCTGTAATTAACATCAACTTGTGTACGTGACTATTCTCAAAAGAGAGCAAATGACTGAAACAAAACTGAGCTCTAAGTAAAAAAAAAAAGAAGTAGTGAAAGCATCAACTTATATTGGATTATGCACCTCTTTTCCATCGGGGAAACAACGCCAGAAGAAGTCTGGTCGTGGTCGGCCGACTGCATCCTTAATCGCGTCCGTTATAACGCCGGTTATGAGCACCGCGTACAAAAGACCTATTTGGACACAATTCAGTGTAGGTCGATTCGTATATAAAGAAGGGTAAATTTTACAGATAATCCCCCCCAAGGTTTGCATGATTGACCGACCGACAAAGTAAGGTTTTCAAAGTGACACTTCTCATTTCCAATTTCTAGTAAAACAACCTGTCTGTTTTTTTATGTAATCAATGAATATGATGACCATATATATATAATTGTCATATTCTATGATATTAGTTTTAAATCCAAGTTAATTTTGTAGAAATTAAAGAACGGGGGTAAGATGTCACTTTTAAAACCATAGGACGTTTTCCCGTCAATCGTGCAAACCTTAGACGGTTTTCTGTGATATACTGTATATAATGAAATTACAAACGTCATGTTTACCCAGTACTGCATGATGCAAATCATAGACATCCCTCCTCTTGAAATAGATTCCGCTAAATATTGCGAAAGGCAATAAAATTGCAATAAGCTGACAAAATCAAAGAAATACGGTCATTATTTTTTCGCGCAAATTTCATAACATGACATCTCATCAAAGCTAGAGGAGTAAAATGTACATACTGGAATAGCCCACAATGGCACGGTGCTCTTCTTGAAAGGGTATTTGAGATCAGCCATCATATCTTTTCCTACGAACCTGTAGAAGGGATCTATAATGTTCAATACGCCTTCAGTCACCACAAGAAGCAGGAGTATAATCCAGTCGTGCATGTGAATCCTTGCCACCTTCACACCATGGGATCTTAGAGTATGACCGCTCGGATGGGTTTCAGCCATTTTCTCCTGTGCACAATGTCGATTTACGATGGTCTCAGAATTAGTGGTAGATATCGCGAAGAATTAACTTTATTCGATGTGCACAATGTCGATTTACGATGGTCTCAGAATTAGTGGTAGATATCGCGAAGAATTAACTTTATTCGACCCCTGCGGTTGTGAGCCCAAGAGAACAATATAATTGTTATACATGATTGTGGAAGGTATATATGTATCTCAAAATCAACGGCGGCCGCAACAGATCAAATTGCGAAAGACAAATTTGTTTTTACCGCGCGCTAAAATGTCAAAGCCACAACGTACTCGTTTATAAACTGTCTGCTCAAAGGTGAAACTAATACTAAAAATAACGAGCGCACGATAATAAGCCAAAGGTCGACATGTGATAAGTTTTCATGAATATTCCATTGACCTTTCAGTACTACGTTAAGGTTGGGAGGCTTCCATTATTGAACATGTTAAGGTTTCGAAGAATTTTTATTATTAAAGGTACCTTAGTCATCAATGATTAAAATCGTACGTGGAAAAAAGAAGCAACATAGAAAATCCGATACAGAGTCACAAATACACGTTTCAATGTGCATCTGTGTTTCCTCAACAAAAAAAAAAAAAAAACGAAAAAAAAA